AATTAAAGACCACATTCATTCTTGTCATATGAATAGATAATTTAACATAACAGATTGTTTATGAAATAATGCTATACGCTTCTACAAAGAGTAGTATTTGCTCGTGCGTCTCCACTTTATCTGTCTAATATGCAAAAGCAATATTAACACTTAAATCTAAACGTTCGTCACAGTCGTCCTAATTTAATCTTGTAAGGAAAAAGCAAGAAATATTTGTCATTGATTTTTTTTTGTCAAAGTAAATGTCGTGATCTTCTTCATGACAATAAAAGCAAAGGAAAACCGGAAATTAATTCATTTAATACAAGTCAAATCGGTTGCTTGTAAAGACATATATTCTATTTCTTTCTAGTTTTTCTTTGGTTTGGTTCAATCGATAAAAAAAATGAAAGAAATCTATTTCGTCCTTGTGACATAGGAGAGAAAAAAAGCAAAGAATTGATTGATTATTATGTGAGCTTTTAGTCGTTGATTCTAATAGAATTAATCGTTCATGACTATGATTTATGATTATAGAACCATGTTGAATAAAAGTTTGTTTGTTTTGTCAAAGAATGTTTATTGAGTAAGAAGAAGAAAACAATTAAAACATCTACAGATAGTCGTCTAAAAGTATGAGATAAAAGAGCAACAGAAAGAGAAAGAGAATATAGCACCGAGAAATGAAAAAAATTCGAGAGAAAAAATGTAAAGGACCAATTATAAAAAAAAACAAAGTCTTCCATTTGATATTCTCGTTTAACATTGCACAAGACTTGGATAATCACATTGATCATTCAATGCATTAAACCAAAGACCAGGCGGACAACTACGACTATAAAGAACTCCATTGGGCAAACCCAAATCATCTAAATAATAATTTCATATAGTAAGCATTAAGTGTTTTCTTTTGTTTTTCAACTTACATTGTCCAAAATATACACATTCAAAATATCGACCTTGTTTACAACTTGATACATCAGAAAAACGACCATTAGCTTGGCAACGAAAATATTCTTAAAGAAAAAAAAAATTTTTATGCCGAAAAAAAATTTTTTTTATTTATTTTAATTTACCAGATTCGCATCGTTGACCAGTAAAACCTGGTTTACAAATACAAATAGGAGTACCTCCTTGTTCTTGACATGTTCCACTATTTTGACATATCGACTGACTACATACACTTTGACCACGACTTATACCCGAAGCTTAAAAAGAAAAACATGTTCTCAAATTATTCAAACGTAAAAGAAAAAAAAATCAATCTTACAAATTGATATTTCACACAATGGTCCAGTAAATCCATTGAGACATTGACAAAGTTTTGCACCAGTTGTACTTGTATAGCATAAACCACCATGACGACAATGGCAAGTATAATGTAATGATTTATCTCCTTGACTACTTGATATTTTATCTATTTAAAATAAATAAATAAATAAAATTTATTTCTTCTTCAATAAATCACTTACGATTACTACTACTCATTAAAACTGAAGAACCTGTAACAGTTGATGATACACCGGTTGTATTACATTGTGGTCGAAAAACTCGATCAGGACAAAAACATGCATATGCATTAATAAGATCATAACATGTACCACCTCCCAAACTAAATTTCAAAAATAACGAAAAAAAACCAAAAAATAATAATAAGAACAATGTATTTCGTTTACCAAGGATTTGAAGCACATTCATTTATATCTAGCAAAAAAAATAAAAGAATGAAAATATTTTGAATGAAATCATCTATTTTGCTATTTTAATACTCAACTATTTTCACAATAAACTCCTGTATAACCTTCTCGACATCGGCATCCATAAGTTGTTCCACCAACTAATATACATTGACCACCATTACATACATTTCTTGATAATGGACTACATGTTGATATAGATGGAACAATATTACCATTTGTTTCTGAACCATATTTTCCACTATTACCAAACATTAATGAAACTATTGGAGTTGTTGTCGGTGATGGTATTGTTGGTAATGCATAGAGATTTCGAGTTGAATCTAAGATTTTTTTTTTTAATTCAAACAATTAAAAGAATATCAATAATAAAAATAAAACCTACTAGTTGAATTGCACGATAGACTGAGTGTACCATCTGGACAAATACAAACGTAAGAAGCTCCATTTTGATGTAATTGATAACAAATACCAACTGTACAAGGATTTGATAAACAACCTGATCGTGTAATTCGAACTAGTTTAAGAAATAATTTATTTATTATTTGAAATATTAAATTAAATTAAATATTTTTTTAATTACCTTCACAATTTTCACCGGTAAATCCTTCATAACATTGACATCGATATCCAGATTTACCTGATAGACAACGTCCATTTGTTTTACATGGATTTGATGAACAAAAATCAATTTCTAAAAAACAAAAAAAGATTTTTCATTGATTTTCTAATTTATCTAATTAAAAAGAAAAACAAACCTCGTTCACATCGTAGACCTGTATAATTAGGTGGACCTATGAAAATTAAAAAAAAAAACGAAACAAAATATATATTCATTCTTTTTTCTTCTGAAAAACAATTCAATTTTTATTATATACATTGACAACAAGTAGAACCAATTTGTCCAATACTACATGATGCTTCATTAACTGAATATGGTATACAAGTGCCTCCATTCTTGCACGTCAAATGGGTACAAATTGAATTCGTAGCTATTTATAAATAAATAGTAAAGATATCTTTAAAATTTATTCAAAAAAATGTCCTTTACTTGGACATGTATCAATAGTTGTAAAAGTAATACCATCGCTTTGACACATGCACATATAACCTTTTGGAGCTGCTGTTAGAGTTAAACAGCGTCCTTGTGTTCCACAAGGTAATGTTGCACAAGGATCTAGAATTTCAAGCGAGATTAATTAATTTTTTTCTTTATTGATAATGAAAAGTAAATGTTTACTTTTTGGTGTTGAACAATTCGTCATTTGAATGGTACCATCATGACATCGACAAATGTATCCATTGAGTAAATTTGCAGTAATTTCACAATCTCCAGGACCACATGGATTTGGTAGACATGGATCTATTGAAAGAGAATATGTAAAAAAATTATAAAATCTAAGCTAATATTTTCAAAACTATAGGTAGTAAAGCTAATGGAGTATTTTATTTTTTCGTACAAATTCAACATACTTGGGTCGGCACATTTAAACACTGTATTTTGTCCATCTGGACATTCACAATAATATGGTAATTGTACTTGATTTGTTTGAATACATTTACCAAGCGGACCACATGGAGATGATTGACATGGATCTAAGATTATAAAAATATAGGTTTATATCTTAACTCAAATCTTTTTTCTTTTTGAGCAATAAAAATTAGACCTACTCTTAAGTTCTGTACATAAAGTACCATTCCATTCATGTAAACAATGACAAAGAAAACCATTTTCTAAGTCAATACAAGTACCATTGTTTGCGCAGGGGTGCGATGCGCATTCATCTAATTCTAATAATACGAACAAGCTACAAGGTTTTTTGTTTGTTCTGTTGTCTTTAGTTCAAAACTACCTTGATCACATGTCGATCCGACAAAACCCGAATCACATTGACAAATAAATGAACTAGAAGTATTCGGAATACATGTACCATGCTTATTGCATACATCTGGCGTGCATACTATATAAGAATATATATATATGTGTAATATTATATTTTAAATAGAATCAACTACATTCTCTATATTCATACATATATCTAATATACATACTTTGAGCATTTGTTATATTGTTCATAAGTGAAAAAATGATCAAAATTGTTAGAAATATCAATGATGATTTGAAGATATTTTTCGATGCCATAGTTCAAAAAAAAACAAAAGAAATGTTCTAAAATGAAAATTAAAGTAAAATTGAAAAAAACAAAATGAAAGATAAAACGATATGGTAGTTCGTCTCGACGGTTCTGTCATTATTCTCTCAATTGTTTTCGTAGTTTAAATAACTCAAATGTCATTTGATCTTGAATAAAGACGAGATAAATTTTCATGTAATACAAAGATTCTCTAGTGTCTTGTAAACAAGAATAACATGGCTTCGTCGCAGACAGATTTTGCATTGTGTACATATACGTACAACTATTTCTACTAAACACCTATGATACTCACTGATACACTGTCTATCGTGTGAAACTACTTTGTGTATATGATATGAAGAAATGCGCGATGAAATTTCTTTCTCACACTCGATCTTTAAGTACAACTAATATTTATTGTATTGAAAACAGTAGAATAAAAGGGGGAGAAGAGAGAGAGAGAAATAGGTATGTGTCAGTAAATAACGACGATTGTCATTCCAATACAAACAACCCATTTTTTTATCCTATTTATCTATACTATCATCTATGTAGTGAACTGCTATTACCTTGAATGCCGGTGTTCAATATATTAATGATATGCAAATGATCAGAGAAACAAAAAGAAAAAAAAAAGAAAAGAAAGGACAAAAGCCGTTTATTGTTTCATTGCTCATATATGTACATATATTGTGATCAGAAAGAAAGAGACAGAGCGACGGTTCACCTTGTTTTCTCAGTCGGATTACGGATTGAACATTATCATCATCATCATCATCATCATCATCATCATCATCCTATCGTACATACAGACAAACACTTTTGATCTATAGTCTTATAAAAATTTGTATGGGAGATTAAAGCGACTGTATTTGTTAAACAACATCACAACACTAACGATGATGTGTGATTGTTTTTATATTGAAAAAGAAAAAATACTTTGATTAAATATTGTCAAAACTTTTCAATATAAGAAAATATAATACCGATCAGAGATATTTGATTTGCAATATAATCAGTTTTCATATATAAAAAACATAATTATATATTGTTGAATAAGGTATTATTCTCCTTGTGCGAATGAATAATATGTGACTAAGATGTTACTAGTGAACAAAATATTTGTTCATTATTTTTGTAAACAATTTCTTTTTAAACATTCGAATATAATATTGTGTAAAATATAATATTTTATACGTGTGTAAATATTTAATCAAGAAATATGTGTTTTCGATTTTCGTTCTCAATTAAAATCATTCTGATTAAAAGAAAAAAAAGAGATGAAGTTGGCAGGAAAAATAAAGACGATATTTGATAACAATATGTTATTTCTATGCGTTATACATTAATTATTCAATATGAATCGATTAGTTGTATTTGATAATATTATAAATATTCAAACAAAACTTTTATTGATCAGTTAATATTCATTGTTTTAAAAATTATTGATATATCCTAATCTTTGATGTATAATCATGAAATCATTATTCTACAAACGAATTTATTTGAATTTAATGAATATATGTATGTGTCAAATAAGAACAGTAAAACTTAGTAAAAATTGAATTTCTTTTTTTTTTCAGATTGATGACAAGTTTAAGGTCATACGCATTATAATATATTATTAAAATGAATACACATCTCCTTTTACATTTATCTATGTCACTATTCAAACATTTATTTCATTAGTACAGATTCTAGTTTTATCATAAAGAAAGCTTGACATGTCACTGATTGAAATTTGATCTAAAGATAAACTTCAAGTAATATTATTTTAAATTTTATAAATAATTAAAATAATAAATTAGATATTCAAATATGATATGTATAAGATATTTAAATTATACATTTTGATGATATTCAATATTTAAATGTAGATTTTACATTTGACATTCATGACTCATATATGTGATCATCATGGATTATTTATAATAAGAGAAAAAGATTTGATTGATTATGTAATTATATATATTTGAACGAGAGAATAAAATTGTTTCACTTTTAAATTATTGAGAAAGATAAGTATTCAAGTTTTTTTTT